GGTGTATGAAGAGGATACTCTCTAGGGTGGTGCAGTAAGGATAATAAGACAGTGTCCTGTAAATCCTAAACACAGTGATGGCCTCCTGCCCATGATTAGATACTGCCAGCTATAAATCATACAACCAGACTTTTATAATTATGGACACAGCAGAAGTCATACACTGTAGACAGGTTTTTCTCTCCAGAAGACTCTTATATAGTTCATAGATTAGCTGTCCGGCCAACCCAGTGGCACACGGTTCAAATCTACCAGCTGCTCCACAGGAGAAAGATGGGCAATCTCCTTCTGCATAATTTACTGCCTCTGAAACTACAGGAGGGTCAGCTGGGAGCCAATCCCAACAAGGCAGTAGCAAGTAACAACATTGCTCAATACTTATTTGCCTCATTTTATTTAACTTTCTTCAACAGGCTCTATTTTTGTTAAAAAGCAATAATGCAAGCCTTAAAATCCCAGGCCATAGTCTGTTATTTTTATGTAGTGAAGTGCTCTTTTGATTTGAAGACTCGTTTTAAAGGAATCCAAAATTGTCTCCTTTAACTTTAGGTCTCTAAGATTCTGCCCCTTTCAGAGTCACATGTATCAGAAGTTTCTGCAATGGCCTGATTTCCCAATGGTATTTACAATCAAATTATTTTATTACACATGGGAACAATTAAACATTTGGCTCTCAGCTGTAAACAATTACTATAGACAATGACATTCATGGATTTTTCTTAAATAGCCATGTATTCCTGCTGACCTCTGTTTACATAAGTGAGATTGATGTACGTGTGGGTTTTGTGTTCATAAGCAATTATACCTCCAGCATAATACCCAGAGAGAGGCCCCACCTACATATAAATATTTTCTGATGCTAAACTTCTATCTTGAGTGATATCTCCTCGAGTGTCACTCTGAGGAACTGTCGATGTTCACAGCAATAAACAAGTGTTTCAGGTCTTGGATTATACGCATTTTAGAGTTCAGGGATTTTTAATACTAATTACGTAGGGCGGTCTGGCTTTCTAATCCTTAGAGAGTTGGCAGTGTTAAACCCAAAGCCTTTCTGGCACTTCGAACCCATGAGCCTCTCAGACAAAGACGGGCAACCTCTTCCCTTGAGAGTTACGGCCTCCCGAAGCCCCTGCAGAGTTAGCTATGAGCGGTCCTCACCCTGCAGCCGTGGCATTTTGAGACTCCCAGTTAATTAGGATCTATGTTAACAGGGCAGAGGAAACAGGAGAGATAAAACCAGAGACTAACACCTGAGGATTGGCTCTGCCATGTTCGAGTAAAATGAGCTTGGACAAGTTGACTTTCTCAGCCTCGGTTGCCTTACTTGAGAGAGGCAACAGTTTCATTTGAATTTTAAGAGTATGATGGAAAGTTTTCAGACTCCTAGCCACCGAGTCAGAACCCACTTAGAGCTGCCGCCTGCCCCAGCTGGGTATCAGAGGAGGTGCAGCACAGGGGAGGAGATTGCCATCTTTCGCCTGCAGAGCACCTGGCATATCTGAATCAACAGAGGGGCGCCACCTTGGGATTAGAAGTGCAGCTCCCTAAGGACCCAAACCCTGGAGCCTCCTCTGATGGAAAGTAGATGAGCTATATATAATATTTGAAGAGACAGGACTCAGTAAATGCTGCCTTTTCTCTTGTCTCCCATACTCCCTTTCCAGAAAGTTTCACAAACTCTGGCTGTGTTGGGCTTATCTATGTTCAACTGCCTGGGGCTCAGACATGTTTTCTTTTCACCATGTTGTCCTTTTCCACCAGTGACAAGCCTGGCAGAAGTTCACAGCTGTCTCACTCATGTGCAGAAATGAGCCTCCTAGTCCCCGTTGCCAGGGTACCTAACAGCTGTACCCAGCCTCACCAGGAAGCCAGAACGGAGCCGAGTGGTAATGTTTCAAGGGCAAAACTCTAGAGGTAAGGAATGATAAAACAAACCCTAAATGAGCCCGCCATATCCAGTGACACACACCACACAGCTACTCTAAATTATTCAAGCTCTCTCAGACTTCCAGCAAAAGAAACGTAATTCACCTCTAACTGCCTTTACCCCCTCGGCTCATATAATAGCAGAGAAACAAACAAAAAAGCACTCTCCCCCTAAGCCCCACCCCCAGTTATGCCCACTGAAAATGGAGAAGACTGGCGAGCCCATGTAGTATTTCCAGAACAGCTAGGAAACAGTTTTCCAGGCAGGAGTTAACAATGGTTGTGCTGTCGTCGTTAAGGGTGATTTCCTTGCTTCCTTTAGTGAGCATTTTGCTGGCAAAAAGCCAGCCAAGCAGTTGTTTAATTACCCAGGACGTCACAAGCCTATAACCTCTTAGATAAGCTGTTACTGTAGTGTAGCAGCAGTAATACCAGGGTCAAAAGTAACAAAGACAATTAATCTTCAAAAAAAGCAAACTCAGAAGAACAGCTCTGTGGATTTAAAGTAATTAATAACTTGTTTAGGAAAATGTGACTGAAATGTGGTTTTTGGCCAGGGAACTGACACTTTTCAGAGGTTAGGTAGACTAATATTTAACAGGCTACCATGTGGTGGGCTGGCTGGCTGGCTACCCTGCAGGCATGGCAAAAGTTTGTTCGCATGTAATTATGCAACATTTAGACAATATCTTAATGATACCATGGACTTCAGCTGAATCAGTCCAGCTGGGAATTGTAGTAGAGCTCTGATTACTCGGCCACATGTACAATTACAACTCTTTCAGCCTCTACTTTTCACTTGCTATATTTTCATACAGATGTTCTTGGAAAGTAAAAAATCATTTATGGTTTGACATTACTGACCAGAGCAGGTCCGTCCTCCTGCTAATTATCATACCTGAGAAAAATGTAGTTTGTAACTTCAACAAAGATCATTCATACACTATCATGAACTATTGGCATATTTCAGGGCAGGTAGGGTCAAAGTGTTTGACATTAGTTTTTATGCAGTAATTTATAAATATTCTTCTTGTAGACCGTGTGAAAATAGAATTCCATGTGGACATTGGAAAATCATTTCCCTGGTGAGCTGCTCAGTGATCATTCTTCTAGAAAACAGTCACTTGAAGTCACATAAACCAAAGTAGTGCTGACTGGTCCTTCCTATGTCACATTATAAATACACTCAAAATCAAGCAGGACCATTGTCAGTGTCGGTGCTCTGAGATCTTTGTATTGTCCCTTGAAATTTTTCCATGAGCTAAAAAATACTTTATACCATGAGAATTATTGTGTTTCTTAATTTCCAGTCCACTCTTGAGCAAAGATTAGACAGAGGATTAGATTATATTAGTTTAATTGGAATATTTATTTAGAATGTTAATTAGAATAATTGGATTATTCAGCTGATTAGACAGACGGCTCATTCTCCACCCTCCTAACTGGATGACACCAAGATTATCAAGTTTTAGACGTAAATAAATGTATTACATTTCGAATCAGTAGCCATAAAGACTGGTAATAGTATCTAATGATTTCTGGAGAAAAAGAAAGACTTTCAAGAAAAAAGAAATCTTCAACAGCAATCACACTAATTCAGCCACTTGGTATGAATCAGCCATGGATAATGAGCTATTTAACATCTCTGCTCTTACACATTAAATGAAATACTTCAGAATATCCCTACGAATATTCTTCCAACACGTAAACCTATTGCTAGAAGTTAAAGTGGAATACACGTTCCCCCAAAAGGGGAGGGGGGAGTCTTCATTCTCGTCAATCTTTCCGCAGTCACACAGCGCTCAGTGCTATTCAACCTTCCCTCCCATGATACCTGGCACCTCACACGTCGAAGAAATTGGAAATGTGTATTAAGTCAGCTGGCCACTATATGCTTGGAATTCCCAAACAATCAAGATTTGAAAAGTCACTGCAAGAGGTGATGCGGAGTTTAGCAACGGGCTAGTGCGTAGTGGTCACTCAAGAGGCTTCCACGTCACTGCCTACTGTCTGGAGCCCTGGGCATCGCCTCCGGAGCCTTTCACGTAACAATCAATGGGAAATGAATAAACCCCGCGCCTGAAAGTAACAGGGGAAGGAAGTTTCTAATCTGGCTTTGCGGACTCATTCAAGAGACACAGGATGCAGCCCTGCTCTTCCTCCAACCCCCAGCCCACACCCATGCAAGAAGGAAAGAGGGAGGAACGGGGCGAGGAAGAGGGGTTCCGTGTTAAAGGGAGGGGGGAAGTTTAACCAACAGCCATGGGAACAGACTGATGACTTTTACTTTGAAAACAAGAGAATGACAATGAAATGCGTGTGAGGTCTGTGTGCGCGCAGCCCCAGATGTTTAGGGCGCTGCAGGAGGACAGCTCTGCAACATGAGAGCTTTCCGAAGGACCGAGCACAAGGGGACAGCAGAAAGCAGCGCAGATGCTGTTGACAATGCAGACTTGAGCATCAGGTTACCCGGGAGAAGGCTGCCTGGAGACAGGCGGCCGCGCGGGGGCCTGAGAGGCTGCAACCGCTCAAAGCGACAGGAGAGACCCCAACACCAAAACTCAAAGCGGGGGGCGGGGAACACGCCCTCTCGCTCCTGTCGGAAGGTGCTGGGGTAACGGAATGGGGGTGGGGAGAGGACAGACTTGACTCTTTCTTTCATAAAGTTCCCATAAAAGCCCTTCTAATTGGCAGCGGATAATTATTTTCAGCTTGAGGAGCCTGCCCCAAAACTCTTAACAAGATTGCCAGCAAAAAGAAATAAAATGTGTTTACTTGAGTCATTGACGGAAAGGAGAGGGTCGGGCGAGGTAGGGAAGGAGGAGGGGGGGAGCGGGCGCTGGGCTGCAGCCCCCGGGGCGCCCGGAGCGCGCGGGCCCGCGAGCAGCTGGGGAGCCGGCGTCTGGGTGCGGGGTGGGGAGCGCAGTGTGCACCGCGAGGGGGGCGTGAAAGGACCCCACTTGGCCGTTTTACGGGGCTCGGGGACGTAAATATTTAGCCGGCCGCATCTGGAAGCGATCGGCCCCCCGCGCGGCGGGTGGGGGCGGCGGCGGGCAGGGCGCGCGGGGACTTACTGTACGGGCAGTTCTCCTTCTTGGTGCCACTGACTTTGCCGTTCTTCTCGATCTTGAGAAAGTACTTGGTGAAGGAGAAGAGCTTCCTCCAGCGGACGTCTCCTTGGAGGTGGTTGTAGCTCCGCACATGCCTGCCGGTACTGGAGAAGGACGACGACGACGACGAGGAGGAGGACGAGGAGTTGGTGGCCTCTAGTGACACCATGTCCGGACCCAGGGCTTGGCAGGTGGCAGGGACAGAAGACACCAAGAGCAGCAACAAGAAGCAGCAGCCGCCGGGCAGGTGGGGCAAGGCTGAAGCACCTTGTGTCAGTATCCATTTCCACATTGTACTGAACCTCGGGGCCCTGGAGCGCGTCTCATCAGAAGGAACATGCTGGAAGGGTGAGACCCAGAGCAGGGCGAGGACACAGCCGCAGGTGGTGGCCGCTGCCTAGCTCCCAGCGGGCGCGGATCTGGCCACAAGTGAATTCACCACCATCCATAACTCCTCCGCTCCGGCCCGGGATCCGCCGCGCGCCTCCGGAGACTCCCCGTGAACGGTGGACGTGGGTGGCCGCGGCGGCAGGAGCTGCTGGCGGCGGTGGTGGCGATGGTCACCAGCGGTCTCCGCTCCCCAGGGGTCACTTTGTTCTCCTCTCCATTCCTTTCTTCACCGCGAAGGACGCAGAGGAGGTCTGAAAAACAGATGACAGCGCGGTGAAAACCGCCCCGGGGGCGGGCTGGGGGCCGGGGTGCCCGCGCCCCTCGGTGCGCACCTCCCGTGCGCTCCGCGCTGCCCGCGCGCCGGCGCCGAGCGAGCGCCCCTCCAAGTTGTCAGAGCTGCAGGCGGCTGCCCGGTCCCCTGGCTTTCTTCCCCCTCTTGCTCTCTCTTTTTGGTGGTGCCTGTTGATTTGAAGCCTCCAGAAAGTCACTTCTTGTTTGGGGGTGGAGGGGGGGGTGGCGGTTGGCGTTTGGTTTGGCCCTGGTCCCCCACCCCCTGCCTCTGGAAAGCCCGCTTGTAAACAGGTTGAAGCCTGCAGTCTAAATGTCAGTGATTCTGAGCCAGAGGTGGGCTCTGCCTCTGCTGGTCAAACCTCATTTGCAGGGGTGGGAGAGCGGGGGGAGGGGGTCAAGCGGCGGTGGGAC